ACTCAGCTGGCTGTGTCCCAGTGAAATTTTATCCATATTAAAAAAAATAAATAAAAAAAACCTGCAGTTATCCTGTCACATATTTTGATTAGTATATTTCCTCAATGTATAGGGCACACACACCATAGATATTCTCACATTGAATTCAACATGAACTTAATGTTCTGATTTTATACAAAAATTCAATTTGTTGACTTTTCACATTAGCAGCCACACTCATAAGAATTAACTCGTTTAAGTACAAGCCAGCAAAAGATGAAAGAAGGTAATTCTGCATAAAATAGCTTCAACAATGCAGATAATAATTTCTAGTATACAGTCAGCTTCTCGATCAGCCTGTTATTAATATCATCAGAAAAAATGTGACACTTCTTTAGCCAAAAACATAAATGAATCTTTTTATAGCCTACCTTTCAAAAGCATATGAGATAAAATGGGATGCATATACTTTTTAGGAACAAAGAAATAAAGGAATGAGGAGAGAGAGGAGAGAGTGAGAAAGATCACCTCTGTGCTATTTGACTCCTCAAAATCTGAGAGTGGCCAGGACTGGATCAGACAAAATACTGTGTTATTAACAAGGGTATGCCTGCCACATATCCTTGTTTTACATTGCATTCTTTTCCAGCTTCATCTGACGTTGAAATTGCATGAGTAAATATTCGATTTTTGACTACTTGAAATTTACTATGCAAGTGTTTGAAACTAACAGATTTTTTTTTGTGTGTTTTCAGAATCATTGCACATTAATGGAGTAGCATGGTAGCATCACCAAAGCAGTCTGAGGATTTTTCATTATTTCACACATTTCAAACTTCATTTTGAGTTTTCCTCTCTTCTCAACTCACAAAAATTTGTTTGCAATTATGTTATCACTTGTAATATTTTTCCTGAAGCTATTTACATGAAGTCCAAAATATTTTTCCAATAGAATGAGAGCTCTAATGCTCATTTCATAATTGTATACTGCTGCTAACCATGAACAATCTCTAGATGCAACAAATTGAAATTTTCCACAATCAATAATGAAGAGTAATTATCAAACTATATTTTGCAAAATTGCCACTTGAAAGCTTACTAAATAAGTAGAAATTATGACTTTCAAATGAAAATGCATTTGGGCAAAGAAAGTGAGTAGAATATAAATTTTAGACATTTTTTTATTACATAATGAAAAACACCAAAGGAAAGTCAAATCATTGAGTACTCTTAATTCCATATCAACACTTTTTTTTTCTAATTTGCGCTTCTATTTAAAGTTCTTGGAATTGCACTTGAAAGATGTATTCAGTTATATGGAAGAGAGAGGGACAGTGAGAAACAGCCAGAGAATCATTTACTGCAAATTTACTTCTCCAATGACTGAAGCATTTGGAACTGGACGAGGCCAAAGCCACAAGCCAGGGGATCTACACTAGTCTCCCAGGTGTGTATTGAGAACCAAGTGCTTCAGCAATCGTAGTATAAGTACATTAGCAGGAAACTGCGTCAGATGCTTAGAGTAGCCGAGTGTCGGACCAGATGCTCGGATGTGCGATGTGTGCTTCCCAGGCAGACCATAACCAGTTTAGCCAAAATGCCCAACTGTACAATTGTTTTTAAACTCCTCTATTAACTTCTTCTATTCACAGCCAGACAGATACATGTGTGTGTACACACACACACTCACACAACTCAGTGAGAACTGTGTTATTCATCGCCTCTTTACTAGTTTTTGAGAAGGCAATGATGACACTATGGTATTTTCCATAAACATGGTTGATAATACCTATGTATAATAGTTCAATATGTTTTATCTTTTGTAATGTGGTGCTTTGTGTACTCTAAATTGTAGAGAAAACTGCACTTGCTGAAAGAACTTAATTTAATCATGACTGATTTATATATATCACTGTGTATGTAAAAATAACATTTAAAATAATATTTACATTGACACGTTCCTGAGTACTGCTTACATTTACTATTAATATTTATATGGATATTTCAACACATATTTAATGCTATTACCGTTAATAACACATTTTAAAAAGTTAAATATTCCATTTGTTGGACATTGAATGATATCTGATTTTCCCAAATTCACATTAATGTTTAACTTTAATGTCTTAATATCAATGGCTGTAGAATTAAAGGAGGAGAGCTGCTACAATCATGCTCGCTGTGGGGTTCTAGGTGGAGACCCTGAAGATACTGGGGGCTCTGTCTGTGAGGGAGGTTGTTGACACAGTATAGGCGATGGCATTAAATTGAGCCTGGTGCCTCTCCTTTCTTCCTGGCCTAGCATGCGATTCCTCCATAGCTACTGTGAGTAGATTCCACAGGTGTTGAAATAGGAGGCCTCATTACTCTAAATTGGAACCAGTACTCTGCTGGTGAGTGAAGCAGTAGGTAGAAGAACTTTCTATTTCACTCTGGAAATCTGTTCTGCCTTTCCAAAAATAAATGAATGAATGAATAAATAAATTAATTAATTAATAATTGAGTAATGCAATTAAGGAATATCCATTAATGACAAAGTAAAATGGTGTTACTTCCATCATGCCTTTCCAAATACTGATTGATCATATCTTTTTCACAATGAGCTTACTGCGTAGAATGGTTAAATAAATAAATGAAGTATATTTATTCAGTCATTAATTTTTAAAAATGTCTAAGCCCAAATACAGGAAGAAATTCAACTTACATAACAAAAACAAAATATTAACCAAATATTAATAACCACATCAAATTAAGGCAGATAAAAATTAAGCCCACTTTCAGTCATGAGAATTTCATGGCTATCTTGATGCATGTGGGGTGTGAGTACCTTGATTATTCTGGTCAAATATTTTCCATTTAATTAAGCACTATGTCAATTTTTATATTTAGGATAAAATACAACGTGGACATTGCTTTTGTTTTATTTGTGGCAGATCTGTTTGATGGCAGCTCAACAGAAGTTAGTATTTCACTCTTCATGATTTCTTTGAGTTCATGACTTGATCTCACCGAATTTAGCTATTAATATGACACATGTAACATGTTTTCCTAGATTTAGTTAAATCATGAATAACATTTGCTGCAGAGTTTCAAGAGTACCATACTTAAAGCAGGTAAATTATACAACTATTTGCTAGCACAGATTTTTGTTTTCAGATTCAGAAAGGAACTTTTTGCTGGTGATATCTCCTACAGCTGTCATTTCTATGATAGATGAAATCGTTTCAGCCCTTTTTAAAAATATAAAGTTAAAAGTCACTGAGCTCCTATTCCACATCTTAGCATACCATCTCAGCTGCTGCAAATCTACGTGACACAGGCTGGATTTTTAACTTCCTTTTCTGGATTTTCTTCAGCTAATGTTGTTTATGTTGAATAATCACATAAGGCAAAGCGGTAAGAATTCCTCATTTTGTGTTGCACCATGTAGATTTTGGTGGGAGTGAAGCTTTTAATTGCTAATACCACTCTTCACAATGTCATATTATGACTACTTTGAGACTGGCATTCATACAGTTCACTTTTACTTTTTTTTTTTTTCAAAAATCTTCTGATATTTAAAGCCAGTGTAGCTCATGCTCCAAGGGCAAACTGAATGAATGATCTTTTCCAATTTGGTTACAAGGGTTAGAGGGTAAAAGATAATAATAATGTTAGAGACTACATTCATTCCTGGTATTTTACTATTCTTCTATTGAGTATGTAATATTCTGATTGGGTGCCTCGGTGTTACATAAATGATTAAATATTATTAAAATAGCTTATGTAACATAACTTGCTTAGGAGAAACACAAAATGTTATTGATACACGTGTGATACACATGCACAATTGTTGTAATCTTGTAAAATTCTGAATTTATCACTTTTTTAAAAGAAAATTTTTCAACAAATTTGAAGAAAGGAAGATACACAGAGAAAAGAGACAGGGAAATATCTTCCCTCTGATGATTCACTTCACAATTGGTTACCATGACCTGAATTGAGCCAATCTGAAAACAGGTGTCAGGAGCTTCTGGGTCTCCCTTGACAGTACAGGGTCTAGGTTTTGGGCCAAGCTTTGCTGCTTTTCCAGGCCCTAGCTTCATGGGAAGTGGAGCAGCCATGGCAGGAACCAGCATCATTATCGGATCCCAGTGCTTTCAAGACAGACAATTAGATAATAAGGCCACCTCACCTGGGCCCTACAGCTGCCCTTTGAGTGTATCTTAAATTTAGTGATATCTAGTGTTAGGCTTTGTTTCATAGGGAGTGTTGTTTTATAGGAACATTAAATGTATTTCCCTGGCCCATCCTCCATTTGTCTTTAATACAGTCCCCAAATTTGTTTTCTTTTGCAATTTGAAAACTTACATATGTAATCTTCACAATATGATGAAGTTACCCACTAGTATTTCTGTAGTTTAACGGTGCTAACTCCCAAAACAATTAATATGACTAATACAGGTGGATTTTTATTTAATTACTTTGCTTAGGAGGTGAGATGACTGAAATGTCTTTAGGGCACTGGGTTCATGCCTTGAGATGGTTGTTGCTGGAGTTCCTGCAGAGGATGTGGGGACACTAAGATGTGAAGGGAACTGTTCCATTGCAGGCAAAGCCATAAGGAATTTCCCGCTGCATGGCAGGGCCTGTGGATGTCTCTACAGCCACCTAAAGGCAGTCCCACCTCCCTTTGCAAGGACACAGGACAACCCCACTGAGAATTCTATAATGTATTTAGGCATTGTATTCCACTGCGGGAGTTGGTGTCTACTACCAATGTGAGCTTGGAAGTTGATGTTGCTCATAAGTCTTGCCAAGGGGCCTTTTATAATTCATGCTATTTCAGATGTCCCCATTAACCTTATGCTAATCAAGGGACCTATGTTTAGGGTTTCATTCTTTCCTTGATCCTTAGGTTTTCCTTTTCTTTGTGATACATTTCTTCCCTTAACTGATTCAAGATTGAATTGTGGAATAACAGTTGTACTAGGAATGTGTCACTGATTGATATCTGCCTTTTATTGAGAACTTCTATTGAGGAACTTCTATTGAGAGCTTTTAGATGAAACAAAAGGCAGAATTATTCTTGGATATACCCACTTGACCGTGACATCAATAGTCTGTGAGAGCTCATGAGGCTTTCTGTATAAGTAAAGGAGACAGCTGTCTTTCATTTGTCCATTATGATCTGGAAATTGTAGTGGTCCTTTTATTTTCTCTACGCCTATTCCATGCACCCTTCTGGAGTTCTGAACTCAGCTGGAACTGGCCTATGCCAGGTTATTTTGTGATAAAGCTGCATATAATAAATTGAGCCTGGCACAACTGTATTCTGCTTCCTGGAACACCATGTGATCCTTTCTCTGCAAGTATTACATGATGAAACCATTATTCTTATCACAAAGAAAACCAGTGGCATTGTTTTCAATCTTGAACTTCCAAAAACCAGGAGTTAAATAATACTTTTCTATTTATACATAGTTAGAGACCATCCAGGCCTGCTGAGTTCTTGGCCAAACCCTCGGGGCTGTGGCACCAGCATTGTGGTGTCTTAATTAGTTAGAAAATGGGTAGGCAATGCTGGCACTCCAAAATCAATATACAGAATAAATATGGGCCATGTCAGTGGCTTACAAGGCAATCCTCCTCTTAAGACATCCACATCTCATCAAAACATAAGTTCATGTCTTAATTGCTCCACTCCTGATCCATCTCCCTGCTTGTGGCCTGGAAAAGCAGTGGGGCATGGCTCCAGTGTTTGGCTTCCTCCCCTGGGAGAGACCTACAAGAAGCCCCTGTTTCCTGGCTCCAGGTAAGCCTGATTCTAGCCATTTCTGTTGCCTGGGAAATGAACCAGCTGATGGGAGATTTCACTTTCTCTCTGTAGTTTTGGTTCTCACTCACTCCTTCAATTGCTGTAACTCCCTAGAAGCAACCGAATAATCTAAACTGATGTTTGGATTTTAAAAGTTGTGTATGAATACCGAGAATGCAATATTATCCACCACTAACTGATTGAAACTCTCACATTTGCTATGAAATGGATATCACTGGTAAGACTTGTGAAATAGTAAAGAACAAATTAGACAAATATCAGATACTTTATCTTGATTGATATAGCTGATATGCAGAATATACAAAATGTGTACATATCATATAATTTGGTATACTTTATAAATGTTGCTTTACTGTATCTTAACATTGAAATGATAATTCTATTTCAGTGATATTTCAGTGATTTTTATTTCTTAGATAAAGTAACTGACAGGTTTAAACAATTTTTTGTGTGTTTATGTGTTTGCAATCTACTTCCCAATTAAATCTTTCTTTATACCCAATTGCAAAATACAAACTCAAAGTACGCTGATGACTAAACGGAATGTCAAATGCTATTTCCCTATTGTTTGTATAAATGTTTTTGTAAAATCCTATGCTATGTGTCAATATTTTTTCCAAAACTACTGAATTGTATGCTTATCAGTTTTAAAAAATTTTAAATGGTATATAGTAAAATGCATGAATTATGGTGTACTGGGTGATATTTCTTTAATGTGGTCAATACATAGCACCCAGTTTGAATAAACTCATCATCATGTTTAATAATGAAAATAGAATCTTTTCTTCAGTTTCCCATGCTTTCCTCCCCTGCCCTTCCCTTCTGATAGCCAGCAGTATGGTCTCGAGTTTTATTAGTTTGGCTTTTTTCAAGAATCCATACATGAATATTACATGGTATTTATATTGCTCTCTGTTAAGTTCGCATATGGTAATAGTCTTTTGTTTTTTCCGTGTTGGTGCAAATTAAAAGATGTCACTTTTGTGGCAGAACACTCTTTTATAGTGATCCTTCTTGATGGCTGCTCTTATTCTCCAGCATATGGGCCGTATGAGGGCAGCAAGCAGAACTATAACAAGTTCCCACATCTGATATCAAGACCTGTATTCTTGCCTAACAGCTCAACAACAAAGACTTCTCTCATAGTAGACAAATGGTATGCCAAAAGAGAATGAATTAAGGTTTAAAAGCTTCATGAACACTTTGTACTTAATGATGAAACAAATGGATGAATTAACTAATACATGAAAAGTGCTTGTTGAATATAAGCAGAGGTAGTATTTCATGTTGATGATAAGACTATGATAACTTATTTAAGTCAGGGAATGTCTTCCAGGAAAAACTTAAAGGTATTAATTTGGAAGCAGACAAGAAGGAAGTGAGAGGATAACACATAATAGAGCAAACACATGAAAGAGGGACGTAGCTCTGTATTACTTATTTTTTTTCTAAATCTTTCTCCCATTCCCTGAACATCATTACTTAAAACATAATTACATAAGCCAAATTACAGAGACTAAAATGCCAAAGGATAAAACAATTCTGCTTTCGAAAAAAGGTGCAATTTGAAGCTATTTATCAAATGCAAAATGTACAAGCAAAATAAGCTGCCTGGGTCAATATATGCCAAATATCGTTCATGATATGAGAGGCAGGTGCTTGTAATTTTTAACTGAGTGCAATAATCAAATACAATATAAATGAAATTAACATAATCAATGGAAAATGTGAAATTGCTATGCAGTCTTTAATCAGGCAAATCTTTCTAGGTTTAGTAATCATAACTGAATGTATAATTCATTAACATAATTAGCAAATAGAATTTAAATAATATAGAGCTGCAGTATTTTTGTACTAGAAATGCTCAGGTCCCTGTAGCTCAAACAGAACAATGAAGGAGAGTTACTGCTCTATTTGCACTAGTTGATAGAATAGCCACAGGTGGTAAACCAGATGATTACATGTAAGAAAAACTGCCTGACAATCTGAAAAGGGGGAAAATGCATCAATAATTAGAAGCACTGTGGGTGAGAATCTCCATGCTAGGCTAACAATGGAGTTTGCTGGAATAAGAACAATTGATTGCTGTTAGCACACAGTGCTATGATAGACCTCAGAAATCATGGCAGAAAAATTCAGAATATGAACATTAACAATTTTGCCAATCATCTGCACATTATTACTGAACAATAGTAAACATCAAACTGAAAGAAGAGTTTTCACATATGGATGATTATTACGGGGAAATGAATGGAGCTGAGAATTTTTCATAACAACAAAATTGGTGGAAATCTAATTGCCCTTGCTCATCTGCAGTGAAATGCTCCAGAAGCATACGCTGTGCCTTGTGTGTTAGAAGTCTGGAACTGTTTCAGAACTCTGAGATCAGAAAATAACTTTCCAGATAATAATGTACCTATTTCCTTGTTTCCACTTAATGTCATTTTAATACATTTGTCTATCTGATTTGTTTCTTTGAAATGCTGAACTGAAACATATCGTTGCTCAACGCCAAACATTGTACAATAAACACCTATTTTTTTATAGCAAAATGAGGCCCAGGGTATTTTAATTTGAGTGTCGTAAGGTGCCACTTACATATCATATCAATGAAAATTGTAAGCCAGATAAAATTGCAAATACTTGTTGCTGTGCTGTTGATAACTGTGTTATTTTGTCTAGATAGTTTCATATCTTTATTTCAATCACTGTTAGAAGTCTAAGTCAGCTGTGGTTAGCACATTGATTTGATGAGCTAATGATCAGCCTGTATGGAGATTGGTTTCAATCACAGATGCTGCACTTCAATCCAGTTCAGTGCTTATGATCTAAAAAAACCAGTGGAGTTGGACCCAAGGCCTCTGACCCATGCACCCATGTGTAACACTCAGAAGTTCTGGGCTTCCAGCTTCCAACTGGCACAGCAACGGCTGTTGCAACCATTTGGAGAGCCATCCAGCAGATGAAAGGTTTCTCTCTCTCTTTTTAATTATTAATTATTAGTGGGTTTTTTTGGATAATTTTTACATAGTTGATTAACGTGATTATGGTCAATGGCTACAGGGAGATGGGTGAAATCACCATTTCCACATTCTCTCTCTCTCTCTCTCTTTTTTTTTCCTTTCTGTATCTGGAGAAAGGGGGGAGATAAAGGGAGAAGCGACATCAAGTCTTTCAAAGCCTCTGCACCCTGAGATGGAGAACAGCTACCAGACACCACCCTAGGATCACTGATGTGAACTCTGAGGGTTCTGTTCATTAGGTTTTGGTAGTTCAGCAGTTCCAAATTGCTGCTGATCTGGCCACTCCAAGCCAATGAAATCGCTCCCAAATGCTCTTGTTGCCCAAGTCCACCTTAGAGTGTTGGCCCAGTTATTCACTGCTAACACTTGCCTGCAGTATTTGATTGATTTGCTCTGCCCTCCATCCTCTGTTGCATTACAAGCTGTCCTCTGCAGACTCCAACATACTGCCATATCCTCCATGTGCACCTGGATATGCTGTTCACTGCTCCATCTAATCTACTGAGGAGGCTCAGCTTTGACATATGCACTCCATGGTCAGACTGTGGAACCTGCAATTTTCTCCATGGTTGGGATTTCTAAATCAGCAATTTTTGGGGTGATGAATCTTCATAGAATGTTTATCTGAGGTGATCCCAGACCCAATTCTTGTATGTGTTGTCAATTTAGGGTATGGCACATTTTGTCATACCAATCAGTTTATACACATGCTGGTGGTTGCAATTGCTGGGTCAGTTCTGTCTCCAGCGCTGTTATTTACACAAACTAACCTGTGTTGCAACCCAGCCTGATCCTGCCCTGCACACACTTGGCCTTCACATACGCTTAGTCTCTGTGGGAGTGTCAAGAGGGACAGCTACTTGACCTTCACTAACACTTGAAAGTTTTGGCGTAAGACAAAAACTGGAATCAGAATCCAGGAAGCAGGCAATGCAGGGGGTGTACATCTTAACCACTGCTTTAAATACGAGGGCTGGTGTCCTGGATTGGGCTTACTTAATATTATGTTTCTCTTTCCTGTATGAATCAAAATTAGGAAATATCCCTGTACCCGTCTTGCTGTTATAGACTTGTTTGCTTTTCCTTTTGCAACTGAAATATTTTCCTGATTTCACAAATATTTTTCGCCTGAACTATGTGATTTTCTTTCTTTCTTTCTTTCTTTCTTCCTTTCTTTCTTTCTCTTCTTTCCTTCCTTCCTTCCTTGTTGATCTTGTTCTTTGTGTGTGTGTGTGTGTGTGTGTGTT